AGAGAGAGAGAGAGAGAGAGAGAGAGAGAGAGAGAGAGAGTACTGTCCCATGACAATTCTACAGCATGATTATAGAGGCCGGAGTAAGGCGTTGACTGTTGACTTCCACATGTGAATTTTGGGACTCTAACTCAGATTGTCAGACTTACCATGTAGACTAGGTTGGCGAACTCTTAGTGATCCTGCTGCTTCAACTTGCTGAGTGCTGGGATTACTAGTGTGAATCACCATGCCTGGTTAACATCTACACTATTGACTGACTATATTGTTTCTGAGCTTGATGATACTAACTAACCTCAATATACATGTCAGAGATTAGAAAAGGCTTTAGCCCATCATAATACATGGAATGGAATGCATTTTAAAACCAACATTTTATACTGCATTTGAAACAGTGGGACTGGTGAAATGGCTCAGTGGTCAAAGGCCCTTGTCTGACAAGCAGAGTTAATTGACCAGGAAGGACATGGTAGAGAGAACCGACTCCCCAAAGTTGTCCTCTAACACATACACATAAATATACAACAAATACATCAGCAGGTAATTGGTACTTTCAGTAGGAACAGTAACCTCTCACAATGGTGGCAAAATCTGGCAACGTGGATTTTTATTTGTAGGCAGGTCTCACTCTAGCCCTGACTGATGTGGAGCTCACTCTGTAGCCCAGGCTGGCCTGAAATTCATGGCAATCCTCCTGCCCCAGACTGCCAAGTGCGACAACTACGGATGTGACCCATCGTGCCTGGCCAAAAGTGTCAGAAAGGCCTGACGTCATAGCTGGAAAAGTCACCCAAAGCCAGGAAGAGCTCACAAGCTCAGGCAGATGGAGAGTCCAACCCTCCCAGTTCCCAGATGAGAAAATAGGAAGTAAGGCTGTAGAGCAAAAGGCGGGTTGGGACAGAAGTTCTGCAATGTGGCCTTGGGATCCTAAGCAGTTGGGCAGCGCCAGAGAGAAAGGGGAGGAGAGACAGGGACTTGTGCCAGTGCTGCCCGCCCTGAGGACATCGAATAAAAGGTAAAACAGAAAGCCTCGCCTCCTTCCTGTAGACTTCTGGGGCCCCTGCGGAGGTGTTGGGCAGTAAGTGGAACCTGTGCTCACGAGCTTCCTGTAACTGACTGAGGAGCCTCATGTGTTCAGGTCAGAAGAGTGGGTCTAAGTGTGTTGTGCACTGTAGATTTCCTGGTGAGCACTGCCTTTTTGGCTTGTCTTTCATATCCCAGTACTGTCTCACTCTGACTCACTGATGGCTGCCACATGCCACTCGGCAGCTCGGCCACTCCTCTACTTTCTCCAGAAGGTAGTAGGCAGAGGTTTGCATTTTGTCTTGTACATAGTTTTCCCCTCTTGAGTCCTGGAGGAAGGGGCCTTTTGACAGTTTCGTTGGTTGAGTTGATTGCTTACAACATCTTACAGTTTCAAATTTCCTTTCTAATAGGTATTTGAGCCTGATGCCCTTTATTCAGGGGTCAATTTCTCCAAGGTTCTGAGTACACTTTTAGCTGTCAACAAAGCAACAGAAGGTAAGGCATGTTGGGGACTTATGATTCATGTTTGTAGAAGCCAGCTGTGGCCACAGTTGTTCAAATGGTGCAAATTTCTTCCCTTCCCCCAAACAAATGTAAAGTACTTTCATTTTAATGACTGAAATGTATCTACCACAGAATAACAAGAAAAACTATATACCCATCAAGCCCACCAATCACATTCTAATATTCTTAGCACAACAATAAGAACCAAAAAATTTATTTCATGCCAAGCTTTTGCATTACTGAGTATAACAAGACAGAAAACAAAAAGGGAAAGACCAGTTCCTCTTTAAAAAAAATGAGCTTTACAAAATACAGCTATCACTTCCCTTTCTCCACCAGAGATATTGTTCTTCTAGTTTTCCATGGGTCATGAAAAGAAGCTTTTCATTAGCTATGCACTATGAATGAAACCTCAGACACCCCATGAATGAAAGAGTGGTTTATTTAAACATTTCATGTACACTGTATTGGAGATTATTAAGTACAGTCAAAGTAAAGGGGAAACTGATAAAACTACACTAGAAACCCTTTTCTTTTCTTTTCTGACATCCTGTCTTAATTATATGGGTAGTGGTTATGGAGAGTTCAAATGTTCTGCGCCCTCTCTGTGGGTCTAGGCTGTCTCAACAGCTCCAAGGGATCTCACTGAATCTTTGAAACACCTCTGAGGACATGGTGATGATGAAGTCCACATTATAGATGAGGAATGTGAGACCCACAGTTACCCAACTAGAAAAAAGATGACTAAGCTAGGATTCAAACCCACACATGACTGTCCAGAGCCATTATATTAAACATGAATCCTGATGCTGAATGGTTTAAGAGCCAAAAGACTGTGTGCCCACCCAGCGCTGCCAGGTGCCATAGAGGAAGTAGAAGATATGGCCCTACCCTTGGGAAAATTAGCATCTATTTATGGAGACACAACTTATCCACATGAAACAATTAGGGAATGAGAGCAGACAATATAATCAAGTGCCAAGAAGGATGGAGCGTCTAGGAAGCCATCAAGTAATTATAGTTTTACCCCAAAGAGCTGTAGATAATAGCAAGATGTGGAAAAATACTTCTCCGAAGTTGTTCTTTTGCTGTTTGGGAAAAAAATGTTTTTGAGCTATTGCGAGGCGTAGAGCAGAGAGTACAGCTAATTCAAGTAGCTATATTTAACACACATGACAAGTATCCAGTTCTGGGAAGGGATGATGGTATAATTCTAACATTATGCCACACAAATTATACGTTCCTTTGCCAAACTCTTCTAGCAAGTTTTACAGTCTCTTCACTTACCACAGATATTTATAAAAATACAAGGAGGTGAAAGTTAAAACCCACAGACTCAAGGAAATTACTTGGATACTGAGCCTGTCGCCTAGGGAATGTTTGGGCTTTAGACTTTTGCAGTTTATATCTTTAAAAATAAGTGGAGAGGAAAAGGAGCCTCATTTGAATTTGTCAAGCAGCCAGCCTCTCCCTTTAATACGCGCTCAGCATACTGAAAACACCCAGCTCAGCTCTGGCCCGATCGAATTTCACGAAGAATCAAGCAAGAGAAGGCTCCCGTGTTTGATTTTACAAAACCATTCTAGTATCAAGATTGCATCTGTCTCAAATACACTCTTCTCTCTCATTCTGATTCTTCACCCCGCCCTGACACACCAGGGAGACTTGATGTTATGTGTGCCATGCATATTTTTACATGTAAGCAAAGAACCCCTAAGTTATGGGCCAGCAAACAAAGAGAGAAATTTGAAATATTTCAAAAGTAATAAGAGCCATAAACAGCTGTTTGGTACCCGATATAGGCCTGCCTTGGATAACAGGGCATACTGTGGCAACTGGCTCAGGAGGAAAGAGTTGTAGGGAAATGGGCTAGGAGAAAATGTGGTTCTGTCGCTGTTTTTCATTATACTGGACAGCAGTGGCCAGTAAGGTTAAGAAGGAAAAAGTTGGCCATTGAAAAGAAAAAAAAAAGGGAGGGGGAGCCTGAAACACACAGCCTGTGCAGAATGACAGAAGTCCCAGGAGCTGCTAGGATGGCGTTGATAATGTCCTGGGAAGGAGTCTCTCGAGCTGTAGGTGGTTTACTGCCGAGAGTGGTTCTTTTACTGTATCTTTTCCTCTTTTCACAGACCAGCTATCAGAAAGACCATGTGGACGGTCCTCTTCTCTTAGTGCTACCAACAACTCTCCGACAAACCCACAAGCAACAGTTCCCAGCACAACTCCAGCGCAGCAAAGCCAGGCAAAGGCAGTGGTAAGTAGAGTCCTCATTCCCTACCCCATCTGCTTTAAAATCTAGCAAATCAGGTCAGCATCCCAGATGGCTTTCCACATGCGGTGCAGTAGATAGTCCATTTGTTTGGTGTGTCACCAGACAAACGAGGTACAGAGTGGGTATCAGTTCAAGCTGGAATGCTGGACTAAAGCAGGTAGATGGGGCCCAGCCTCAGAAACTCGGGGGTGAAACCCCAGTTCTGTTGTTTACTAGCATTTAGCTAGCCACTTAATTGGGAATGATATGCAAATGTCAGTCATAATGATTACTCCTATTGGCACTTTGCTGTTACTTTCCCTAGGCCACGAGAGTATTAGAATGAGTTATTACCTGACATTCACGAGCAATCAATAAATACTCATAGTTGTTCTGATCCTGATTGCAATCTTTTTTTCCCTCTGAATTCCTATTGAGCAAGACCCAGTTGTAGCTGGATGTGGTGGAACAAACCTGCATTCCCAGCACTCTGGAAGCCGAGGCAGCGGCACCACTAGTTTGAGGTTAACCTGTGCTACATAGTACACTCAAAAGAAGACGTACTTTTAAATATCAGCCCATGCATGACAAATCTCTATATTGGATCTCCTACTTGTGTTTGCATTTGATCTTAGAAGATTTGTTTTGGTAGGAAATGCCATTTTCTGTTCTTTCAGAAGCTCCTGGTTTACTGTAAAAGCCACCATAACTTGTTTTGTCCAAAACATCCAAACCAGTGTTTCTTACCCTTTTGGAGATCACTTCCTCCTCCTCCTCCTTTTGAGACAGGCTCTCACATAACCCAGCCTGGCATAGAACTTGCCATGTCTTAGAGGTAGAATGACATTGAACTTCAGATCCTCCTGCCTCTACCTCCCAAGTGCTAGGACTCCAAGTGCGTCCGATCACACTTGGTTTATACAACGCTGAGGATTGAAACAGGGCTTCTAGACAAATATTCTTCCAACTAAGTTCCAGCTCGGCTCCCCAAACAGATCACTTGGAGAAACAAATGAATGCTGCTAGGGTGCCATATTCTTTGGCCCCTCTTTCAAGTTGCATATAAAAAACTTCTATGGATAAACTAATATGAGCAAGGAAAGCTGCATTGAGCTTATCAGATTTTCATAAGGATCCGTGCCTCTCAGAAGTTAAGTCCTGAACTTCTTATTTATATAAATGTGGGTGTTTTGAGGCAGTCTCATGTAGCTCAGGCTGACCTTGAACTCGCTGTGTAGCTGAGGATAACCTTGGACTCCCGATCTTCCTCCCCTCAAATCCTAAGTGCTAGGATCACAGATGTGTATCGTCCCTTACTCAGCCTGCTGAGTTATAGCCCAGCTCCCCCAACAGATCCCTTGGAGAAGCTGATGAATGCTATGGCAATCTTATGACTTAAGGCTAGCCTGCTTCAGATTTGCTAGCAACTGAGAGAAGGGAAGGATTTTTACAAGGGTAGCTTAATAGCTAACATTTGGACCAAATTTTGTATTAGAGAGAAGCAGGATGGAATGCTAGATCAGTTTGCTTCAGTAGCTGCTTCAGCTAAGCAGCCACGTTTAGAGAATTGGTGAAAGAAAAGGGAACTGAAAGTTGGGACTGCCTTGAAAATGTACATTCTGAAAAATGGAATCTTTATTTTCCAATTTTCTATCAGTATTGTTGTGCTGTTGTTGTGAGTGCATGTGCTATCTGCATATGAACGCAGATCATGGGAAGATCAGGAAACACCATTAGGAGGCCTTTCTTTCCTTCCACCATGGGCTCCCAGGGTGGTACTCGGGGCGTCATTTCCCAAGGCCCTGCAGACACTTGTGTATGGATTTGAAGGGGTCCTTAATCTGTTCTGAGGCCTACTGAGAGACTCCTAAGCTCAACACTGATGCTAAATTAGACATGGGATCATATACCTGTAATCCCACCACTTGGGAGGCTGAGAGGCAAAAGGATTGCTGTGAGTTCTGCCCAGACTACATAGTGCAATTCCAGGCCTGCCTGAGCTAATATGACACATTGTCCTGAAAAAAAAAAAAAGAACAAAATAAATAAACAAATAAAATGCTAAGATGGGCCTGGGGTTTTACTCTGTTTAAATTGAAAAAATTAAATTTATGGGTATATGTGTTTTTGCCTGCATGTATGTCTGTGCACCACTTGCAAGAGTGTTCAAGAAGGCCAGAAAAGGGCAACAAATTTCTCTGGAACTGGAGTTGCAGATGGTTGTGAGCTGCCATGTGGGTCCTGGGAACTGAACTCCGTTTCTCTGTAAGAGAAATTCTTAATTGATGAGCCATTTCCCCAAATCCCTGGGGGTTACAGCCTTGGTAGCTTCACTGTGCTTACATCTACATAATATCTACCCGTGCCTCAATTAGATGGCAACTTAATCTGGTGTGGCTTTTCTTTCTCTAGGAGATGACGGAAAATGGAAGTCACCAGTTGATAGTAAAGGCAAGATTCAACTTCAAGCAGACTAATGAAGATGAATTGTCCGTTTGTAAAGGGGACATCATTTATGTCACTCGAGTTGAAGAAGGAGGCTGGTGGGAAGGCACATTAAATGGGAGGACAGGATGGTTCCCTAGCAATTATGTCCGAGAAATTAAACCCAGTGGTGAGTAGAGCTTTTTTAAAAGTCTTCTTACATGTGACACTTGTTCCTTCCCGGTGTTCTTATTCAAAGTGTCTTATTTTAAATTGCTTGACACGAACAGTTGATACATGTATGTGTCTTCCAAATTAAGACTAGGACAGAACTGGGAATAGTTACATATGGCAAAACAGAGTTGTATTTAGACGATGTGAAAACCAAATAGGCAAAGGAATCCAAGGTTCAAACAACTGTAGTACTGTAAGTACGTGCCTTTCTGTCCCCTGATTCTAGCCCGGAGTGCAGAGTGCAGAGTCCTTCCTGCTCCTCTGAGAGTCACCATGGCAGAATACAATAACAAGAGAAGCTGAAAGCTAACTTCCCTTTTTAGCTCTGCACCCTTTAAGCAGACCTAAAGCTTGCTGCCTCAGAGATGTGGGAGAGAGAGAACAGTCCAGGGCAGAAAGCTGCCTGGCCACATTAGGATCAAGATTGTCCTTAGTCCATTGTACACTGTGAGCTGTTTTCCCCTGTCCTGAATAATATACACACGATAGACTTTAATTGCTCCTTAGAGGTCCTTTTTAGCGTTTTTGTAACTTATTTGTCCTAAATAAGAAGGCAGACTCTTGTAATAATAAAGAGAAATTAGCAGAGCATCGTGGTATACGTCTGTAATCCTATCCCTGGGGAAATGGAGGCAGGTGGATTAGTCATCTTTACCTGTAAAAGAAGATCTGGCCTAGCTTGGGCTACATCAAGCCTTGTCTCAAATAAACCAAACAACAATAAAAATCAATAGAACCCTTCCACGATCAGTTTTTGAAAGAATATGGTAATACAGATAAAAGTGCTGTCATTACATCTCTTCATTTTTCAAAACTATTTCCTCAAGGGCTCATTTTGATAGCTTGACCGTCGATGTATCCTCTCTTTGGTAGAAGTCTTCTTTGTTTTTCATTTTGATTCTTCATAATTGATGGGGCCAGTGGATAGCTCAGTGAGCAAAGGTGCTTCCTGCTGAGCCTGACAACATTAGTTTGATCCCCAGTGCACATGGTAGAAGGAGAGAACCAACTCCCCAAAGATGTTCTCTGACCCCGACATATACACCATGGTGCATGCCCCTAAAATAAAGGAATCAATAAATACATAAATAAAGTTTAATTAAAAATGATACTGTGGGAGAAACTAGTAAACAAGGAGTACCCTAGGACAGACATACATGGTCCCCTGGAGAAGGGGGAAGGGTCACGATCCCCTGAGCAAATTGAGAGCACGGGAGGAGGGGGTAGGGAGCTACAAGAATGAGAAGGGAAGAAGGGGAAGGATGCAGAGGTCATGAGGGAACAGAAAGTTTGAGTCAGGGGAAGAATAGAAGAAAGGATATGTGATAGGTAGGGTTTTAGTTGGGGGGTGGTAGGGGAGGAAGGGAGGGAGAAGGGAACTGGGATCGTCATGTAATTCAATCTTGTTTGTAATTCAAATAAAAAATCTGAAAAGAAAAAAAAATGATACTGTGGGCCAGTGAGATGCTCAGTGGGTGAAGGTGCTTGCTGCATGGCAAAGTGTTGATTATCCGAGTCTCATCCCCAGAATCCATGGAAAATTGGAAGGAGAGAAGCAACTCCACAAAGCAGTCTTTTGGTCTCAGCATATGTGCCATGGCCAGGGTGCCTCTCCCATGCACACGTCATGCTCACACATGCACAACACATTTTTTACAATGATGCATTTAATTAATAAAAGTATAGACTCACTCTAAATAAAATATTTCCGAAGTATAGTATAGAAAGAAAGTTCCTTCGCCCTGCACAGCTGTCAGCAGATAACTACATTCTTAGAAGGCTCTCCTTAAAGGTGCTTAAGATGAAATTTACTTGTTCGACTTTCTGTGTTCTGGGAAGGGGGACAGGAACATCTCATTGAATGGAATGTGTTTACTAGAAGACTTACAAATATTTGTTTGTATAGACTTCTCATCAGTTTTTGTCATGCTGGGCATGGAACTCAGGCCCTAATACATGCTGGGCATGGAACCCAGGCCCTAATACATGCTGGGAAAGTGATTTCCCTCTGATCCAGAGTCCCAGCCCTCAACATTTTTATTTACTGGGAATTGAGACATTTTAAGCTCTGGAAGTGTTTTCACAGGCCCTGCCTGGAATTTCCTTGGTTTTGATTATTTTTACAGCTGACCTTCACTCCCTGGTGTATCTTTCCTTTGACATAATCCAATTGTCAGGATCCTAAACCGTTTTCCAGATTTACACTGATGTTCCCTGGTGCAGTATCCTCATCTGCAAAACTCAAAGGAACAGCTTTTGCTGCCTCGCCTGGAAATTCCAAGCATTGCTGACAGGGTAGACAAATGCACATCGTGTCTCTCACTGTGAGGTCTTAAAGCAATCTGCCTACTTTTTAATGGATTACCCTACGACTTGCTTTCCCTTTCCTTCAGGCTTTTCTGGGGATACTCAGGTTTAAGACTCAGATTAGCAAACTCTGGCCCAATTTGAGCACGTAGGGGATCCCTAGAAACATCCTGTTATTGAGGGTAGGTGTGACTTCAGAGTCCAGGAAGCTTCTAAGGCAAAGAAGGTCTAGGATCATCGATGTGTGTGGAACAGCATCTCTCATGTAGCTCCTTGTCTTCGCTTTCTTGTCTTCCCTGCTGTTGTTGTCACTTCTATGATCTAGCCTAAACTAAGTAATCAGGACAATTCATTAACAATGTAACCCAAATCAGCTCCTCCCAGAAAGTGTAAAAGCCTAGGTCATCATAGGAGTGCTGGTCCAACCTTGTCCCTAGATGACCTCACTCCCCATCACTCATTCTACTTTATACACATTGGTCCCTTGGCCTACCTGACTGTCCAGCCATTGGCAATGTTCTCAGATTTCAGCACTGCTGCTTGCCTTGTGACCTTCAGGTCTGCTGTCTTG